ACACACACACACACACAAACTGTGAACAAAGATCAATGATAACCAAAAATCTACACCTACTCTGGACATTTGCTATTTGTAACACATGAATCTAGTTTTGGATCTAACTCATTTAAATTGCTAGTTGGGTTTGTCTTTCTCCTGTGATCTATCACAATATGTCTTTGCAACCATGACAACCCCCAAAGTGGTCTTTGTAGACAGAGGGCCCTGAGATGGTAGATTAAGTTGACATACCGTAAGTGACATATGCATTCCACCTTCTGTCACTAACCTTCCTTGTCCTACATCCTCTTTTCTGTTTGAAAATTGATTAAATGAATATATTGTCTCATAAACATGTGGCTTACTAAGCACATGGTTACCTTTTCCATCAAAAAATCTTTCCATAAAACTTTCCAAGCTTTGAGGTCCTTCAAGTCTAATCATCAATTGTGAAAAATAATAAGATGAGATCAAAACATCTTTGGGATTTCTGTAGACATAAATAATCTGTAGAGAATATAATGAAATAATCTTAGAAATTCTTGATTATGTATTCAGGTTTGTTAAATACATATGATATTGATTTTATTATTTATTTCATGTGGTTTATTACTCTGGAAAATTTTGGTCATTCTCAGTTTTTTTTGCAGTTGCAAGGTTTTTGTAAAAGCTAAATTTACTCACATGACATTTCACATAAGCAAGCATAAATAACAAATTCCTAAAAGTTAAATTACTTACTTGTAGAACTGATTGACATTAAAAATTACCTCTCATACAAACAGCTTCAAATTACCATCTGTGAGCATCAGCTTGATTTATAGCAAGATATCACTGAGAATTAGTGAATGGGGGAAATTACTTAACAGGTGATGTTGAAACAGGTTAACAATCCACACAGAAGAAAATGAAAATGTATTTCTACGTCATACCACACACAGTTAAAATTAACTTGCAAATGATTAAGGATTTAAATATGAAAACAAACTTGATATTGAAAACTTATATAAAGGTAATTGGGGTATATTGATTTAAAATTAATTGGGTGACATTCAAATTAAAGCATGTTGTTAATAAGTTAACAAAGGCACATAATCTGAGAGAAATGACACATATAACCAAGAATAAATTAGTGTACAGTCCCTTTTTTAAAAATAAGATCATCTTAAATAGTAGAATACTTTGCTGCTGTGTGACTTAGTAATTCTATTGCTAGGTGGTACTTTTAGGGATCCTTGGGAAGATGTGCCCCCAAGGATGTGGTCAAGATTGTTCATAGCAGCATGTATCATAGTTACAAAACCAGGAATGCCCAAATTATTTAAAAGGAAAAACACAGAATAATGTAATTACTTATAAAACTTTAAATTATACATCAGCTGCAAATAATATTGAAAATTAAGAGCAAACAAAAGCAGAGGTAAAACCTCAGGGAAAAGGAGAACAAAATTAAGTGAAACTAAGACAAATGATTCAACAGGATAACATATAATTTCTTAGCAATCTTCATAATGACAGGAATAGAAAAATGAATGCAAGTAAAACATGGAGAAATAATTCATTTACATAAAAGTAGAAATCTGTGAATTAGAAAACATTAACTTATGTTTTACAAAAGAAACTAGTTCTTTGGAGAAAAAGAACCAATGTAATAGAAAACTCCTAATTCCCTTGAAAGTATAAATGGAGCACACTACCTTTTTCATGATTATACGTGAATGCAAATGTTGCAATTATTTCATCAGATCATGAAAGAACATTTTGTAAAGTCTTGCAGTGTTTTAAACTTAAAATAAATTGGGGGAAATTAAGTTTGAAAATTATAATGCTGGTTTAGGAAATGGCAACCAATTTTATTTTCCCCCCAAATTTCCTGCATTTTATTCTAAAAAGAAAAATAGCCACACATTGTGCTGAACAGTTGAATGTAAAAGAATCAGGTGAACTGTTTTAGACATCTACTGTATCGGGGGAAAGCTTACACATTATACAAAGTTTTACAGCAATGGATAGTAAACACTTAACTATTAAGAGGTCAGTAGTCAACATTTTATTCTTTTAAAAATTGTTTAACATTTAGTTATTTGGAGGGTTACAATTCGATCCTCCACATGGCCCATGTTGCTCTCACCCTCCACCAAACCACCTGTGCTAGGAACACCACTTCCTCCTTTCCCATGCCCTCTTCCCTCCCCCATGTTCCTCTGAATGTAAGGAGTTAGATTTGGACAACTCTACTCTGCTTCATGAGACATTAACAAGGATAGGTGGGAGGAAAGGGTGGACTGTTAAAGAAACATGCACATCATAAGTTTCATTTTCATTCTGATGTCAATTTTACAAGGAACAATCACCTTTTGTGTCTGCTTCCCGATTCATTCAGTGTGGGTTTGGGGGAAAAGGGAAAGTAGGGACTCCCAGGTAGAGAGACTTATCCTCATAGCCCACTCCCAGCCCAATAAAATCAGTGTCCATCTCTAACAGGACTTAAATTCAGTTCCAAAGTGGAGTAACCCAGGAATAGGGCACAGTAAGAGGCCAGAAGAGAAAAAAAATATATCAGTAAGTAGCAAAATAACAACTGGGCACAAAGTATTTAATAAGCCCAAAGTCTTATCCCAGAGACAAAAAAAAAAAAAAAAAAACAACCAACCACCAACAGGTCAAAAATAACCTGTATCTATTTTCTGATACTTAGGGTCACTTGGGGCCATTCTTCCTCCTAGCTCCCCAACAATGAACTCTAGACTCTACTGAGTCTTACCAGGTCGCATCAAGTCATTGCCTAGAGGGCTGCTTAAACAGGAACCAGCAGTGGGTCCCCAAGTCCAGGTCAATGCTGCCCTCTGCTGGCCACAGGCAACATATGTTGTTACTCTCACTGTGCCAATAGGAGTATTATCTGGAAATTCCCTTAGGAAACAGGTTGAGCATGGTGGCCTCTTGCTTGGATTGGTCTATAGTGCCCATCTATAACTCCTTAGTAAATTTTAAATAAGGGGCTCTTCAAATAATTTAGCTGATCCTGAGTACAAGCAAGAACAAGGGAAAGGACAGAAGACATTCAAGCGTCAAATGGAACCTCAGAACAGAACAGCAGGGGATAGTGCTGACCTGGGCTCCGGGGCAGGGGAACAACAAAACCATATGAACAGATGTTTGAGAAAATAAAAACCTTACAGTCTCTTCTACCAGGTGTCTTAGAATGCCCTTTGTCATGCTATAGTGGTTCAAGTAAAACAATTCAGAAGAGGGTAAGCTGGAGGCAGAGACAGCTAATGTTAAGTGCAAACATAGGGAGGGTTCAGACTTCTCAGTGAAAGACTCGATGTAAATTAAAGTAATGCTGTTGCTGCTGTCAGACATCCCCATCTTTCCCTCAGGAAAGTCAGGGTTGATGGGTGTCCAGAATGACAGAGGACTACATCAGAATGTCCTCTTTGTCACATGGGGAAAGCTTTATGTCCTGGGCCATAACTCCATAAAATGTAGGAATTCAGAAGGAGAAAAAGAGAAACCATTCCTGGTCATCCAGATGGCCACTTCTGGGGAGACTACAGGACACCTCTTCAGGCTAGCAAGGGTTCATCTCAAAACTTAGTGACCTAAACAGGAAAGTTCATCCCTGGTTTGGAGTTTACTGCCAAAAAGTTGTACTGTTCAAGCAGCAACTTAGAGCCCTGGAACAAGCAGACACCGTCATGGCTGAAGCTTTTTCCTTGCTGAAGTCAGGGACTGGAGCCTGAGTAAGCTGCTCTGCTGACTAGTCTTTTCCAAAATTCCACAATCCCAAACTCTGTGGAAAAAACTATGAAACAATAAAAATGCTGTAGAAATATAAACTTCACAGGCTGGGATACTTTTTAAATGGATACCAACAAACTTTCCAAAAGTTGTTGATATAGCTTTAAACAATTTGGAAACTTAGCAAAAATACACAAAGCTATCGAAATTTGTCTTATACAAATAGAGTTACAGAGATAACAGAGATACTAGAATCAAATAGATAGAACTATCATAGAAAATAGGTTTTATAATAGTTATAGATAAAAACTGAACAAATAACAAACTCTTCCAAGACTATGTTCAAATAAGTCTTACTTGAGAAGCCAATGGGATTTCTTCCAGAAATAGAACATTATTAGGGGGAAGAGGAAACATGGCATCTACCAACTCACCCAAAATGGCAAACTTATGTGATTAGACTTTTTCTGAATATTGAATAAAGGATATTTATAACCCATTTCTATACTTACTTTGGCTTTTTTGTTCTTGAGACCTTTTGGCACTAAGTAATAAGGCAGATGGGAACAAAAGAGCCGAGGGGAAGGCATATTGGGCAAGTCAACTTTCCGTATATTGTATTCAAGAAATGGTGCTCTATCTAGTGTTTCCACGTTTTCAATTCTTTTACGGTGTTTCTCAAAATAAATCAAGCTTAATATCTGCTGAGTCCAGATGGTACCTGTAGACATAAATAAACTTGTGTGAATCCTGAATTAATTTTTAATAATAAGTATCCAAACTAAGGCAATACTCCAAAGTATTTGACATTTTCATTTTTTAAACCACTCTTTCCTAACATATTTGTGTAATTGTCAGTCATGTAAAAATTAAAAAAGATAAAAATCAAGATCTCTTAGTTCCTTTTCCTCTCTGAAGAGATGTGGTTGTTCAGATTCTCCCATATTAGTGATTCCCATTAATTTTTCATTTCCTTCTCTTATTTGTATACTAAGTGCACTTTTCTATTTAAAGTTTTCAGAGACTCCTTGTGTTTCTCCTTACTTAGTCTCCTTCAAGATTTATCTTTTAGAAATATAGGCAAATTAAGAGCTCAAGCCCTGTTACTTTTGTTTTTCTCATGTTGTATCAGAGGACTCTCACACAATACCGAATACACAGTACATGGATGCAAAATGGCAATGTCTGGAGAATGGCTTTTGTACAAATCTATACCAAACTAGAATGGAGGTAAATAGCAAGTATCCCCACTCTTCAAACTTACCAGATTTTGGATATGTAACTATGAAGACATCGTCATCTCTGATCTCAAAATCATCTAGATTTTCTAGTAGGTCAATATCAATTAAAGAACTTTCAAGATTATAGCCTTTAAAATGAAATAGATACTCATCTCTGCTGTCCATGATTATTCACCTACAATTACAAAAAGATCATTCTTTTCATGTCCTCAGTGTTTTCAAATAATAACTAGCAACTGCTGAGTTCTCACTAGGTGCCAAGCTCCACTGCAATGTCAACTCATTCCCCATACTAAATAGCTGCATCTATGAAATCATTTAATCTTCACCAAAACCCTTTGTGCTAGATAGAGGTATTTATTATCACTGTCCTATAGATGAGAAAACTAACATGCTAGGAAGTTAAAATATTTTTACGAAAACCCCAATGAGGGAGTGTTTGTCGTGATTTCACACATACAGATGAGGATGTTAAATTATAACATCCTCAGCATCCTCCTAGTACCCAACAGAAGGATTTTTTTTTAGATCACAAATCTAAAAGAAATATAAAGTAAAAGTATGCAGGTTTCAGCATATTTTTCAAGGTCATCTTGCTAGCTCTGCTGACATCAATTTGACCAGATTCCAAGCTAATTAATCTTTGAGCATCAAGTTTCCCATCATTTTTTTTCTTTGAATTTTTTATTGTAATAGAAATACAAAGTTCTTCAATGCACATATTTTGCATTTCTGTTTTTTTCATGTGGTGCTTGCTGTCTCTGAAAGAAGTTGCTGAGGCTTTGGTGATATACAGTTTCAAATTAATTGTGGCATAATGCTGCACCAGTTAAACCAAGTGATTTTACTATGGTAATGTTGCCCTCATCAAGTTTCACAATATATTATATTATATATTATATATATATATAAATAATGGTTATTATGCTAGTACCCAGCAGAAGGATTTTTTAAATCACAAATCTAAAAGAAATATAAATACAAAGTAAAAATAAAGTGAAGAAGCAGAGAGTTGCAAATATATCTGTTCAAAACTTTTGTCCAAGCAACTATTTCTTTTATTAGTTCACCCTGAGAAATCTATTCTTTTCTAAATATATTTATATTTTTTATTGAAGTAACAACAGGATTCCCCCCATCAGGTATCACTATTGTAGGGTACCCACCACCAAATCACCCACAGTCCATTGTGCTTCCTTCCATCAGAAATCCATTCTTGAATATTAAATATACTCCAAGAAACAACATTTAACCCTTTACAAATAATCAACCTCAACTGATCAACAGAGGTGTGTCAATGAGTTGGCGTTTTAATGAGCTGGAGTAGAAAGTCATTTGCCTTAGAATCACATAAATGGAAAGCTATTTTGACAACGGCAGCACAAATTTTCTAGGAAAAGAACTTTGAGAAATCAGCCTTAGAAGAGTGGTGAAGGAAAATTTATACTGTGTAACATGGGCAAATGAGATTGTCTATAAGTAGGAAGTAATGTTGAATAAAAGGCAAAAATAAATGTTTCACTATCATTCACCTTCTAACCCCCTCACAATGTTACCCACCTCCTGCAAATGCCCCAATTCCAAAAAATCTGGATGTTGAGAGAAAAGAGTACCAGACAGTCCACCAAACACTTTAAACATCACCACTTTCTTGCTTGCTATTTTTATTGCTATTTTTCAAGAGAAAGAATTAGGAGAGCTTCTGTGACACAAAAATAAGAGAAAAGTGTAGGTAGTGAAGTGAATTCATGAGCATCTTGGCTTTGGCATGTATAGTATTACATCTCCTTTGTGGATATTGGAGAACTCAATGAATAAAGAGAATAGACATCATGGGTCTCCCATACAGTCTGACACAGATATCCAAAAGAAAAGGAACAAATAGAAAATTGAAGAGAAAAAAGAATTCATTTGTGTGCTCAAGAGAGGGTGAGAATGAAAACTCTCTAAGGCTGACTTTGCTCTACTCACTGTTGCTGATCCGTAGATGAAGCAATGCACTTCTACAATAATATAGGAATGATAGCAATCAATGCACTGCTGGGAAATAAATACTTAACAGAGAGTTTGTCTTGGCCAATGAGGGATGTTCCGGGACTTAGCAAATAGTTCAGTTTAGGTAAATGCATGGAGTAAGATTTTCTTGTTAACTAGGAAAAATATATCAGGTTGCACTGAAAGTTCAACAGTGTTTAAGACAAGAAAACATCAGGTTATATTGCTTAACTTTGGCAACTATATTGCTAACAGACCGCTGTATGCCCAATACCTTGGACGAAAAGGATGGTTAATGAAATCTTTTCAATCTGTCTCAGTGGACTGATGTCCATTCTTTGGGTCTTTATTATCCCAACCCTTGTAAAGCTTCTGTAACTATGGATGGTACCAAGAGCTTTACACACTCATATAGTATTAAAATTTTCTTCGCCCAAAGACACAGTTTTCCTTCCTAAGTGATGCCTTTCTGCTTTTTCCTTTAAATAGGTATTACAGAAGATTGCTTCCTTTGTTTTTGTTTTTGTTTTTGTTTTTTCAGTTTATAGTATTAAAGTTTCTCAAGTTTGCCTTGCTGTCACCCTTGGGCTCTTTACCCCATCTTCAGCCCTCCACCGCCTGAATAAATTGCTGCTTTATAATGAATCTCAGGGTGTCAGTAAAGATAGAATTTGATCCCGCAGAAGACTTTTAATCTTTTCAATATATAAGGAAAATTGCTTAACTGTCATTTAAGCTTGCAAGAGATCAGCCTGACTCTTATTTCACTTGTTTGTTTATTAACAACACAATATACTTTGTGTGAGTGCCATAGCATGAAAAATAGAAATCAATGAAAATCCATGTTATTCAAATAAACAGCTTATGCAAGAATCTCTGATTTCATAACATTTTCATTGAACTGAATGCTTCAGGAGTCTTTTGAGATACCTGAGATCTTTTCTCCTGTTCTTATAACACATTTTCATTGAACTGAATGCTTCAGGAATCTTTTGAGATACCTGAGATCTTTTCTCCTGTTCCTTCTTTGTTTAATAGTCCCTATTAACATGAGAGTGAAAAAATCAGCACTGCATTTTGCATTTTTTCTTTAAAGTTAATGAATTTGTAGAGTGTATTTTTAATCTTGGTATTACATTTTTACTCCTTCAATGTACATGTTTCCACTCACTCTTCACCAAGATGCTCATGCCAAAATTCTATTTCATTGCTGTGTGTATGCTTTATGTGTGTGTGTGTGTGTGTGTGCGTGTGTGTGTTCTACAGATGAGTGCAATATAAGGAAGCACCTGAGTGGATTGCATGTGCTATTGTCCAACTATGGTCATAGAGCATAGTAAGCATAGTATCTTTCCAAGCTCTGTATTTTTCTTTCCAAGAAAGATCTGTATCTTTACACATTCAATACTGAAATGTCATAGCTCATATAAGTAAGATATTTCCTGTTTCAATACTTTTGATGGGGTTAATTTAGGGTATCAAAGGGGGAAAAAGAAAAAACTATTGCCAGCCAGTTAAATCTCTGGAGTGATTTTATCAGTGGATCAAGAAGATCTGATACATATACACAATTGAAAAATACTCAGTGATCAAAAAAGATAAGCTCATGACATTTTGTGGCAAAGTGGATGGAACTAGAAGGGATTATGCTAAGTAAATAAGCCATAAAGAAAAAGGTAAATATTGGATAGTTTCACTTATATGTGGGACGTAGAGAAACCAAACAAAGGGTCAGGAAAATATAAAATTTGCAAGCTGACCATAGATCTGAGGCAACAGGGAGGGAGTGCAAGGGGAGGTGGTGCAGCTCTAAGGTCCATGAGGTTACTTTCTCCTTCCTTTAGGAATGATGCCACAGAGATACTTAGACAATGAATGTTCTGTTTTTTTCTAAAGATATATTCAGTTTTGTTTCCCTTACAGGCAAATCAGCCATAACTGAAACCCAAAGCTTCATTGGCATCTATATTGTGCTACATTAGGGGAATAGAAGCCTTTTCTTAATGTAATCAACTCTTGTTTCCCTGTGAACCATAATTCTATTTGAATCAAAATTCAAAACCATTTCTACAATGAAGTGGTGTTGGGATATTTCAATTTAAGGGGGACAATGAAGAGTAACCTCATTGTAAATGAAGAGTAAATCTGTGTGGGTTTTCACCCTTAAAAAAAAAATAACATTATGGTCAAATGTCAACAAGCTTGCACAAAAATAGCTGACAGATCTGATTGGCCAAAGCTTTGAAATGTAATGAAGTTGCCAACATAAGGACTTCCCAACAGACTTGGGGGTCAAGGTGCTGAGGCTCCAGATGAAGATGGGATTAGAACAGTCTCAAGTAAACTTGTCCTTGGGGATTTTTCTGCTAATGTAGTGTTCCTATCTGATACTAGTCCTACTTTGAAGATAAAGAGAGACAAAGACTGTGCTAGAATTTCTAGTCCTCAGGGTTTTTAACAGCATTGCATGATGTACATTTTGGTAAAGTCTATTTACTAGAAGTTCTTAGTCAGTCCAACTATTTTGGAGTTTGAGAATAGATATGAATCTTACAATCAAAGTAAAATGCTGCACCAGACAACCATCCACTTGGAAATATAGCCCTGATCAAGTGGTGTCTCCGCTTCATCTATGCATCCTGTCAAAATCAGAATAGGAAAAGTAACACAAAATTTCAGGTCTATGGAAATTTTTAGGTACATCTGCCTTTCATACTGCTCACACAAGCACCAAAA